TTGTCTGTGGGTGAAGACTAACAAAGGCGGAAGACGCATTCTGGGCACGATCCCAGGCACGCTGCCTGAGCAGCCCCTGCTTGGCTTCTCACTCAGAATGTGTCCCCCAAAACCCTGAAGGCCAGATTTGTTTCATCCTAACCAGATGTGAGGTGCTAACCCAAGATCAGGAAGTGTGTGTATGCCTTCCTCCTTAAAATGACAATCCAGGTCTGATCCTGACCACCCACCTCACAGTCTTCAACTAGGAGGCTATCCTGCCTTCTCACCCTCTCATAAGGTGGCACCATTTCAAGGCTGAAGAAGAGAAAGCTCTTCCCCACAGTATCTTACCAATAAGGGTGCTTCAGGGGAGCAGCACAGACTGGCTGCAGTGACAGCTTCATGCCTCGATCTCCTTGTGCGTGCCGTAAGGACAATAACAGCCTGCCTCCCAGGGCTGCGGAGGGGACTGAACCAGCTGCTGGGTGTCGTCCTCCTAGAACTGCGCCAGGCACAGCGTGGGTGCTGTGCAAGCAGCAGCGACTGCTGCTGCTCTGAGCCCAAGAAGCGCCACGCTGCGCCTCATTGCGCCCCAGCGTCTCTCGGAAAGTAACACTATCACAGACTGAGCACCTGAGGGCCGGATCAGGCCAGTTTTGCTACTGACCCATTAAATGGGATTATTACTCCGCTTTTACAAGTGAGGAAATAAGGATCAAGGAGGCAGGTTAAGTTAACCTGCCTGAGGTCACACGGGCATGTTAACTGATCTTCCCTCTTTGGTGGCAGGAGAAATTCAAATAGGCCTGTGTGGCTTCACCACCCAGCTTCACTGCGAAGCCCCCAGCCTCAAAACTACCACCCACAGCCGCAAGCCAGTAACAAAACATAACTGCCCATTACTACGTAGAACTCATGCTCAATTTTCTGCCTCTGGACCCCTGGCAGGCCTGCATAAACTGGAGTCAACATCAGGCTTCCTGAACCCAATTAGGCAGCAGTCTGGAAAACACCATGCGATGTATTCCAAAGGTCAAAGTGAAACCCGGCTTCCTGGCAGCTTTGGACGGGCACTGCCATGGAAGCCAGACTGCACGCAGACGTCCACCAGAGTTTAACCAGTGAGCTGCTTAACCAGCACCCATGTCAGCTTTTAAAAAGGTCCCAGAGATGCTGGTGACACGATGCCTCGCCTGGCTCTGCAGTTAACAGCCACAAAGGCGGTTAGAAAAAGACAACATTTACTTTTTTTGAAAACAAGCCTCACTCTCTACTCCTTTCGGTTTAGGGTTACACTTACTACAGTAGCTGCCTTTCCCTGGGCAAAAATAAAAGAGGGAGAGGCAGAGGAAGAGAGAGGGGCCCCCCAGCAGCCTGCAGGGCGCCGCAAACCCAGCTGAAACCCGAGCGCGACCTACCTTCCCGGAGCGCCCGGCCCCGGAGGGCGTTTCCCCGGCGCATCGGCTCGGCCCTCCGGGCGAGCGGCTGCTATCCTGGGCTTCGGTCCTGTGCGCGAACCCCTCCCCTAAAGAAACCTCAAACTTAACCCTCCTATCAATTCCGCCGAAAGAGCAAACACCCGGGCCATCCGCTCGTCCTCAGGGCCACCTTTCACCAAGTCTAAAGAGCCTGCAGGAGGAAGGGCGAAATCCTGGCGAGGAGAGGGGCGGGGAGGCAGGGAGCGCGACAGGGGGAGCACTCGCAGGGAGCACGACGCCCTCCCGGTGCAACGTCGCCGCGCAGCCCGGGGTGGCGCCTCAGGCCGCGGGCACCGGGAGCGGACCCCATCGGAGCCCAGGGGACAATGGGGAGGGGTCCCCGGAGAGGGC